AAACGCTTTTACATAGACAAAGCGCACCCATTGAGTACACCAATGGTTGTTCGATCACTTGAAGTGAATAAGGACCCGTTCTGACCTCCAGAAGAGGATGAGGAACTCCTTGGTCCTGAAACACCCTATCTCAGTACAATTGGTGCACTTATGTATCTTGCTAATGCTACAAGGCCTGACATAGCATTTTCTGTTAATTTACTAGCAAGATATAGCTCTTCTCCTACACGGAGACATTGGAATGGGATTAAGCATATTTTGCGATATTTAAAGGGAACTCTTGATATGGGTTTGTTTTATGCTAACAAAGGTAATGCAGATCTTGTTGGTTATGCAGATATAGGTTATTTATCTGATCTCCTTAAAGCTCGAGCTCAAACCGGGTACGTGTTTATATGTGGAGGTACTGTCATATCATGGCACTCCACAAAGCAATCAATTGTTGCTACTTCTTCAAATCATGCTGAGATAATAGCTATTCATGAAGCAAGTAGGGAATACGAATGGTTGAGATCAATGATTCAATTATTCAAGAAAAATGTGGTTTGAAATGTGATAAAAGATCCACAATTTTATACGAAGACAATACTGCATGCATAGCCCAATTAAAGGGAGAATTTATAAAAGGAGATAGAACGAAACACATTTCACCAAAATTATTCTACACACATGATCTTCAGAAAAATGGTGACATCGATGTGCAACAAATCCGTTCAAGTGACAATCCAGCAGATTTGTTCATTAAATCTTTACCAACTTCAACTTTTGAGAAGATGGTATACAAGATTGGAATGCGGAGATTCAAATATTTGAAACAAGGTTTTTATCAGGGGGGTGAAATACGCGATGTACTCTTTTTTCCTTACTAAGCTTTTTTCCATAGGGTTTTTCTTGTAAGGTTTTAAATGAGGCATCTAAAATGCGTATTACTAAATATGTGTACTCTTTTTCCTTTACTAGAATTTTTCCCACTGAATTTTTCCTAGTAAGATTTTAACGAGGCACATTATCTTTTAATGAACATCCAGGGGTATTATAAAAATATTATATTGTGGATGTCCATTCATTACTCCGCTATAGATAATCTTCCTGAAGAAGATTATCCATTTAGTACTCTGTTGAAGTTTATCTACAAGCAGCTGATGCAGGCAGGTTGCAAGCAACTCAATGAAATGATTTGCAGCAACTTCTTATTAAACAGGCAGGTTGCAAGCAGCTCATGCAGACAGGTTGCAAGCAGCTCATGCAGACAGCTTACAAACAGTTAAAGAAAAGTCTTGCAGCTGCTTCCTGAAAAGCCTCGCAGCTGCTTCCTTTCTTCTATAAATAGAGGAGTTTTCGATTCATTATGAACATAAGTTTGAAAGTTGAATAATATATCAGTTTCTCTATATACTTGTCTTTACTTTACCGTTTTTATTTTATAACACCTAACAATATCTTTATAATTTTGTATTTTTCATTATGGAGTTATGAGTTCTATTTTATTAACTAAAATTTCCTACATGAGAAATTTTATTAGTATAAATATTTTTACGCTATCGCTTGATATTCACTAGGTTTGATTGGAGTTTTATAAAAAAAAAATTTTAAAAAAAAAAACTACCAATTCAAATTGGGGAGTAGTTTCAAGTTGGAATTTTTTTTAATTTTAAAATAATTAGTTTATTTTTATTGAAGCTTTGTTCTAAAAATATACACTTGTCATCTTATGATTATGACACTTGGCTTAATTTGGTAACTTTGCATCTCCTTTTATTATATAGAAGATGGATAGATATAGACTTTGGATAGAAAAATTACTTGACATGGTGAACTTGCATTCGCTTATTTATCAAACTGACTGTACTGGCCTGCTCTTTAAAACCATTTTCATTATCCTACGAACTCCTCAAACAAAAAGCGGACTATGAAGAGCCAAAACAACGAAAACAAAATTGTTCCCGAAGTGGAATATGCACACTTACGGACTATAATTTGTCTATTGGTAAAAGATAATTATTTTTATGCTTCAAATTTTGGTGTTCTAGAAAAATTGAGGCAACATCTACAAAAGATCATTGTTGTAAGTCGAATGGTGAAACTCCCACGTATTTGTTAGTCCGTCTTCTTCTCAGGTTCATCAATGGCAGCGAGTCTTTCAACTAGGGGAGGGTGAGAGTAATGATAGGCTGAATACCAAGGATCTGCGTTCATAGCTGACAAGTTTTCTTCCTGGAAAACACCAGACAAATGGTTATACACATCTAGTACCATGCAAAGTAGTAGAAAAAATATGCAAGAGGACAACACATGCACATTCTAATAATCAAATTCTATTAAAGAGATGCTCGTGAAAGAAGACACAGTTAACCTGCAGTTTCACAAGACCAGCTCGAAGAGGTGCAGCATAACCCAACTTCTTTGCAAATGCATCAGCCTAGAAAAAGAAAACAAGATTAAGTTTAAGTAAATGCGTTTTAGCGTTGGGCGTGGGGGTAAAGATTCAAAATTTAAAGACAGTTTAAAAAAATCTGAAAAGCAAAATATACCTGGAACTCAAAGGCGCGGCTTACAAGATTAAGGCCAAAGCTTACTAGGTGCTGGAGAGGTATCACAGTTTGCTGCATCAATAAAGTTTATATTGAATAAATTAGAAAAAATAATATTTGATTTTAACTAAAAATAATAATCTTTGTGTTCTTGCAGTTTTTCAGACAACAGTACAACACAGTAGTGAAGTTCAACCTGGTTGCCTACACAAAATTATTGACCGTCACAAAGTAAAACATCGTGATGACACAATGCTGATTAATTACTCACACGGCACCCAAATCAATCACTACTATATATAGCACCTTTGTCACAGACTCGCAAGTTATGTCATACAACTTGACTTTATAAGTGAGAAGACCGTTTCAAATTTAACGTCTTGGTTTAATTTTTAATGAAATTAAATTGTGAGTTCAAGAAAATGAATTGTTTACTTATATAAGCAAAAGAAGTGGTTCAGAAAAGGAGTACTTGGTTTGTCCTTTTATAATAAAACAGAGAAAAATTGCATTGAGAAAAGTAAATGCAGGTCTCATTGGTTTATGCCATAGGTTTCCAAGGTTCCCTCTTTAGAAAAGTGGCCATTATTTTCGATCTGTGCTAGAAAAGGAAAATGGAGATTCAATTAAGAAAGAGGAGTAAAAAGCTGTCATCTCTTTCTAACTTTTGAAGGAGCACTTGATCTCAATTAATAATATATTAATGTTTGATCCTAAAATTGGTAATTGGGACCCAAAAGATGCACTTGAATGGGATTGCACATTTCAAAATTAAGTTTTCATATTTAACCCTCCTAGCAGCCAAACCTCCTGACCAGATTTCTAGTATAACCTGGAAAATGATGAGTCCAATAAGGACTGGTTGTGTATCAAACCCAAAACTCTGAAACAAATCCTTAGAATTCCTAACAAGAGTGTATTTAACCCTCCTAACAGCCAAACCTCCTGACCAGATTTCTAGTATTACCTGGAAAATGATGAGTCCAATAAGGACTGGTTGTGTATCAAACCCAAAACTCTGAAACAAATCCTTAGAATTCCTAACAAGAGTGTATTTAACCCTCCTAACAGCCAAACCTCCTGACCAGATTTCTAGTATTACCTGGAAAATGATGAGTCCAATAAGGACTGGTTGTGTATCAAACCCAAAACTCTGAAACAAATCCTTAGAATTCCTAACAAGAGTGTATCCTCCAAACTGCAACAATGTGAGAATCTGCAGGGAAAAAATACTAGAGTCAGAAAAAGATAAACATGAATATAAAGTTGGACTGAAAAAAATAACAACACTATATGCATGCATGCACCACATGGTTAAGTGTGTATGTGAGCACAAGGCATTGCACCAATCAAGTAAAGAAGAACGAAGCGAGATCTAAATGTCATGCCCCAAAGTCAGACAAATCATGCACCTGAAATAAAACAAATGCAGCCTGTCCAATTGAATGCTATCAAGGAAAGTTAATACATTTTGCCAGCATTTTAATTCTAGAAGATTACAATGGTGATGTCCATAAACAATAACTTCAGTAGCAATTTACAACTTTGATTCCAAAAAGATACACTTTGTATTGTTTGGCAGTTGGAGAATATTGGGCCTTATAGAAAATATGGCACTAAGTTATCCCAATCCGAAATTGAGAAGGGAAAGAAACAGTTGTTGACAATGATGACTCTACGCATTACTGACGACAGTATTCTTGTCACCCTTTAAGATTTGTTTCACTGAGGCCCTTTTCTGCACTGCTTCAAGCGGCCACTTAAGAAGCTCGTATTTTGTACAAAATCACCAGTTAGAAAGGGAGCAAATGGAACTCAGAAAAAATAGAAAGCTTTGAGCAATCAAATTATTCACCAAGAATATTGCTTGACATGCTATGGAAGTTGTCAACAACGACAACAAACCCAATATATTCCCACACGTGGGATCTGGGGAGGGTGGTGTGTACGCAGACCTTATCCCCCACCTTGTGCCCCTATGTTATATCTAAGTTGACGTGTTATCACCCTTTCCTAAAGTTCCAATATATGACTCATAGGTTTAATCTCATGATAGTTCGCACATTTTTTTTTTTTGAGAAGGTAACAAGTTTTATAAATTAAGTAGAAAAACCTTTAGCATGAAGATTATGCTAAGGTTAAAGATAGTTACAACTTACAAGACCCCAAAAAAGAGCAAAACGCAAACCAAGACTTGTGGTAGTTACAAAGACCCAATAATATCTACTATAGACTCTACATCCTCTGCCAGAGCTTCTTTACACCAAAAGTGAAACAAAAATATACAATTCGTCTTGATTTTTTGTTCAGTGTTAGCTCTATCTTCAAAGCACCTTGAATTTCTCTCCAACCATATTGACAACCAAATAAATGCTGGGATCAACCTCCGCCATTGCTTTTGCTTCAGTAGAATACCTGGGTCATTCCAGCAAGCTAACATTTCTGCAATTGTCCTAGGTATTGCCCATTTCGCACCTTTCTTACTCATTAGAAGATACAACAGCCTGCTAGTTACTTTGCAATGTAAAAAGATGTGACTGTTTGTTTCAATCTCTTTTCCACACAAGAAACATTTGGAACACATAAGCATTCCTCTCCTCATCATGAGTTAGGACAGCCTCTTTGACGACAAGCCAACAAAAGCAAGCCACTTTAAAAGGGATTTTCACCTTACAGATGTGCTTCCAGTGCCATGTCCCATTGTTCATGTGACCAGAGCTATTCAAGATTCCATATGCTGACATTACATAATATACTCCTCCACCGTTTCTTTCCCATATAAGTTTGTCCTCTTCTTCTGTGATGCCCTTAAAACCATCCAACAATGTGTAGAATTCAATCACTCTGGTAACCTCCCAGTCATTGAGGAACCTTCTGAACGTAGCATTCCACCCCTGCATACTCCGTACCTCAGCCACAGTAGCTTGGGGTTGCTGCACTATAGTGAACAAATCTGGAAAAGCCTCTTTAAGAGGTCCATTTCCAATCCAACCATCATTCCAGAAAGAAGTTTTATTGCCATTCCCCACTTTGATACTGACATTGCTGATAAATCCTGGCCATAAATTTCTAATTGACTTCCATACACATGCACCATAGGATCCAGAAGCTCCTGCTGTACACCACCTCCCATCTGCCCCATATTTTTCATAGATAACCTTCCTCCATAAAGCTTGATCCTCCAGAGAAAATCTCCATAGCCACTTCATAAGTAAACTCTTGTTATGTTGGCTCAAATTTCTGATTCTCAAATCTCCATCCCTCTTGCTTTTAAGCAAAGTGCTCAATTTTACCAAATTGTAGGCCTTCTTCGCCCAATTTAAATATCTCTTTTGTTCTTATATATCGGACTCAGGTGCTCGTTCTTCAATATTTACTGTGGTATCTTCCTATTTTTCAAAAACATGTAATCACCTAAGGATGCAAATGCATAAAGATGTTCTTTCCCTAGGTAGGAAATGTCTTATGGTTATTATCAAAAGATAAGCAAACATGTTTGAAATATAAAATACATCATAAGAACTGAAGATGTGCCAAAAGGACCCCAACTAATTTAGAAACTGATGACCCTGAGTACTTCACTGATCAAACCACATAAAATCTAAAAATAAAATTTTCTTTTATCGTAATCAGTATCCAATAACTATTAGAGTTATTTCAACTCCATATGCAACTTCTTTTTGCTGCTTAATGCTATACCACATTCATGAATCGTTACAGCAAAAACCGAAATTTAAACCAGCCAACAATTACCATTCACTATAACCAGGTGAAAGCCAACCAACAGACAAAATGATAAATTATTTATGAAATAGAGCAGACAAAATGATAAATAGGCAGGTGCATGCAGCTGGTAAACAAGAATATACTTGATCTAACAATTTCCCTTTTTTTAAATGATCCTGGTGTCCGAGTCAGCTTATGTGCACCTCGACTATTCAACTGCTCGACTATTCAACTGGGTGGGTGCCTGCTTATAACTCTGTCCACAAGGCTTATGCAAATGGGAAGAAATCACCTACTAATTTTTGCCTATGCTAGGATTTTGAACCTAAGACACCTCATGGTTCACCTCCCACTTTATTGACCACTAGGCCAACATCATTGGGTGGCTTGATCTAAAAATTTCCTTGCACACATTTCTGTGACAAGGTGGGTGTGCTCTAAGTTTTTGACACATTTCTTTACAATGGCAATAATATTTATGTCGTTTAGGATTCACCTGTTTCAAGAACTCCATCAAAGTTTAGCATTATTTTCTTCCATAAAAGCATCTCTTTTATTTTTAACTTTTTGATATAATCTTCTGCGACAAAAATCAAAGATGTAAAACAGACTAACCCCTAGAATCTATGTGCCAACACAAAGTAAATCACATAAAAATGGATGAAGCAAATATATGCTTAACCTAGGGAAAAAACAAAAAACATAATTGATTAGAGGGAGAGCTATCGAGAAAAAAAAGAACTGATTTGAGTGAGAAGTCTTTAACTTCAGTACAGCAGCAACCTCATTAACCTTCTTGGCCAGCTAATCCCTCCTGCTTCCTTCCCCCCTCCCCTCAAATAAATTATAAAACAATAACAGACTTGAAATATGAATGAGACTGAAGGCATGGGCTTCAGGAATTAATTGGCTTACCTGGACCGCAATGAAGGAGTACATTGTGTGATTAAGTTTCCAATGACCCAGTTCATGTGCAATAACAGCTACTATTTCCTCATCATTCTTGCACTACAGAGCACCAACAAGTGAAATTAACTCCCAAAATACAAACTACAAAGAAAACATTTTAAAGGATTTTAAAAGCCAAATATAATAATAAAAGGAGAAGAAGAAATCATTCCGGGGTTTGGGGGGGTTTCAGAATTCTAGCTACACTGATACCACACATAAGAAGTGATGATGTCATATGATTTCATGCAGTAAAGACAGCTTTCTCACATCCAATCAGTTCAAAGAAACAGGAATATCATATTTTAATTGGTAAGAAAGTAAATGAAGAGCCTGAACATATAATGAGAAAATGGACCTATATAGTCATTCCTCAAGATATTACTCCATCTTAAGCTGGCTACAGCTCTCAAATACGGTAAATTAGCCTCTATCTCCTCGAGGACATTCAACACTTGAGCAACCAAATGGCAGAAATTGTTTTCAATGAACTAGCAGTCATTAGAATACTGTCCACTCAAAGAAACATAGAATTGGTTTAACAAAAATGATCACAGTAAACAAATTTTACCATCTTCAATTTTCACAGTATCACGGCATAGACTCCTGCATCACACAGACATTCCCTCCATTTCAGTTTTGGTGTCTTAGTTTGACGGGGCACAAAATTTTCCATGTAAAGAAGACTTTTGCAGCTTGTGGTCTCAAACTAAAAGTGTGTAAAACACACTGAAAAATACCCTTCGAATGTTGTGGTCTTAAACATGCAATATCATACCTATAAGGGAGTATCATTAAGGGTAAAATGGGAATGTTGGAATTAAAACCCTTTTTATCAGGTAAAGTGAAACTTCATTTACTAAGCAGAAAAGTTGTTAGCTCCCGTACATTCTTTTGACTCCTATCTAAACTCAAAGAGCTTACAAAATCCAAAAATAAGAGGGGATTATTTACATTATAGTGATTACAGCAAGCAAAAAGATTGAGTAAACATAGACTTTAAAACATGAATTGGAGTTACTTGGAACTAAAACTTACTAAATACAGAAATGTGACATTCTTTATGATACAAACTAAAAGGGAAAGTAAAGATACATAAATTGAAACGGAGGGAATATCTGTTATGGTGACCCTTCTTCGAAGAAGCCAACAGAGTTACAGTTCTACTGTTATGCAATAGTAAAATGGTAGAATCTGCATGTAAACTCATAACCCGTACATTTGCTATTTTACTTCTTGTCAAGATCATGTTAGAACGACCTTTTTACCAACAAAACAGTTTCGAGGAATCATTAAATGTTCACAACTTCATCAACTAATGGCAATGAACAGAAGACCAGGGGAAAAACAAGATAATGAACACTTAAACCACTTAAACAAGATAGGCACCACACCTGCTGGATGAGTGTATCATAGAGGACAATGCGCTTGTTCTTGAAGAACCCATACATGTATGCCTAGCAAAATTTGCAGACACAAGATCAGCCCATGAATTAAGAGAGGAGATAATAGAGAAATAGATAACTAGGTATACGGGAGAGAAGACAGAAATAAGTAACTAGGGGTAAACATCAGGATAATATTATACCCTCTGTGACCATTAATATTTCACCGTGTCACACGACATAATTCCAACAAATGACTGAGCAAAGAGATTCCCAATGCAAATTTCATATCCCTTTCCACCAGAAGCTACAATATGGTAGATCTAATACAATAAAATGGCTCAGCTTTTTATACGGAGTAAGAATTAGTTGGCTATGACTACTGGAACCGGAAGCCATGACTGCTGCTTTAAATCTACAAAACATGCACCAGGGAAGTGTAGACACACTTTTACACGCACCTCTGTAAGAACACTATCCAGCAACACATCCGATAACGTAATGTGGTTATTGTAGAAGGGATAAGGACCATAAAGCTATCACGTATACGATTATCGTATCCATTGAACTTTATAATGAAACCAAAGTAAGTATCAGAAAACTATATTAGACTCCAACAGCAAACGCAAAACTGAAAGCAAAATAACTTCAAAAGGCAACAGATGGTAAAAATTCTTCATATGTATTTTTGTTTTCCCAGAAGCACACATGACTTGCAACCAATTCACTCAACTTAGTTTTATCAATAGTTTCTCTGTAGGACATATAATTGTATTATACCATTACATTCACCATATATAAATGCAGGAACAATAAAGACTTGATCAACCATTGTTTATGACTCACGCGCACTATATGAAATTGAATACAATTTTCAAGCTGAAAGATAACTAACTACCAATGACTAGACAGATTTGACGCACAGCCCCGTACTCTGATAGAGAAGATAACACTAAATCCCCTCCAAGCTCTTATCACTGTAGCAAAAAATTAAGGGAAAAAAGAAAAGCAGACAGAATTTGTTTTATGTATTTGTTCTGAACGTAGAATAAAGTTCTGAAAGGAATATTAGAGCTAGAGCTCATAGACACTTTCATATATTTAGAAATCTTCTTGTTTTTGGTGGGGGTAAGAGAAGCTGAAATCTTCTTGTTATCAATTACACTCTGAGAGAATATATATTTATTCTTTTATCCTCAATTGTTGTGAAAAATATTCTTGCCCCACCCTCAAAAAGAATTGGCTCCACCCTTCAGTAAATAGGCAGATGACACATAAAAAGCAATAGTATCACATGCCCATTTGTCACTCAGCACAAGTGTGAATACTCCATCGTCCAATTAAAACCAAGAGATCCAACAGGATGTCTCAAACTAAGTCCATAATGAAAAAACGAAGAGAGACCTCTCCAAGTTAGTTTTACATCCTTAGCTCTTTATCATGTTGATTTGTTCAACGAGTAAGCGGAACACCTTACTCTACCTTTTGCAAACCATAGAGCAAACAAAACACACACGTCATCTCCAAAATGTATGAGAAGATTTGAAAGGTAATCAATTACGAAAGAAAAATAAAGCAAATAAGAGATCGGGGGTATACTGCAAATCTGCTTCAGTTGAAGCTAAAATATTGAAGCAATTAAGCAAAGCCAGAATTCAGAGAGGAACTCTAAAAACCATCCGAACTCTGATTGCTTGTTCCGACAAAAAGCTATCATAGACTACCGAGAGGATTAAAAAAAATTCAAGCTGGAAACCAAACAAAACTAACCTAATTTAAAGAGTCAAATATCATCTCAAAATCTACTAGCACAACTTGGACCACAAAATCTATGAAATTATAGAGCATAAAATGAATTTGCATGCAATGAGTAAAGTTTCATGTATAACCACTACACAAAGATCAGTATAATAATCACTCACATTGCTATGGCTTGACCGTGTGGACCCATCAACGACGAATAATTTCTTTAGGGGAAACTTGAGTGAGGACGCAAGATTCTCAATATTCAACCTAAGCTCTCCCTGTGGAAGCTACTCATGAAGAAAAAAAAACTAATCACCACAATAGAGCTGCAGGAAATCTGTTTTTGCTTTTCCTCTTCTTGAGGGGAAAAGGGTGTTGATGTACTACTTACCGGAGTGAACTTGTTGAAAAGTGGAGCAATTAGTACAGGGTAGATAGTCATCATAGCAAGAGATAAAATCAGCATAAACCCCCACAAGTAAATTGCCAAGTAAGGACCTCCTTTCTGCAAATCGAGAATAGATTTTCGCTGTTAGGGGAGTGCACAAAATGATATTTTGCAGAATGAACGAGAAAGAAGCATCCACACACCCCAATTAAAATTATGTGATGAAGATCCAAGAAAAAGTTGATGTCAAATGAGATGAACAAGTGAGCGGCTAAATCATGATAAAATCTTGAATTTACCATAACCCATGTGACAGTACCTGTACTATAACAATGATGGCAGCCACAATGGGAGGACCAATCACAATAGCTAAAGCAATTCCTTTTATCATGTCCCTAAAGAATAACCATACTGTTTGCTGCATCACAAAGACGATTCAAATTCCAAACAGACATGTTAGCCACCAAGGGAAGACAGATGCATAATGAAAGAAAGAATTACATTTATTCCATGATACCTTGTTGAAACCATGGCGGGTCTCAATCACAAAGGTTGAATACAATGAAAATGGCAAATCGGTGATCTGTAGAAGTATTTGAAGATTTAGTATTGGTACCAGATTATGAAGATTAGGACAGCTATAACTTTTTGAAGCAATCCAGAATACTTGAAGATGTCCTTGGACCAGGATATCACCACACTAAACACTAGCAAATTCAAAAGAGGAACCAACCAACAACAAATTCACCATGAGAAGTAGTCTTGTGCCAAATAGAAGTATTTCACAATAGTTTTCAAACTAAGAACTTAAATTATAAAAAGATGCATCGAACTCTGAAACACCAAAAACTAAAAACTACCTATTAAACTTGCTGGTCATTGCAAGGGCAAAGCATAAAATAAGATGCCGCATCACACACTAAGGGAACCAGGAACAAATGCACCATGTTTGACAAAATTCACCCTCTGAGTTCAACAAACAGGTCTACTTAAAGCATGATTCCTCGTCCAACACCACAATTAAAGAAGATAAAGATGATTAAATCAGATCTGAAGCTATCTTCAATCTAATAAGGAAAAGAATAGGAAAGACCAGGACTGCATATATGGTTTGTGGTTAATTTAGCCAATGTGAACCAGACTACATCGCTTGAGGCTGTACAGAGCACCCTTTAGGACATAAGGAAAGCGTTTATGCACAAAAAGATTTTCTCATCCCCGGAGAAACAACTATTCACCTAAACCTTTGGCAACAAATCCTAGAATTCATATATAGTTGGAGTAAAGTACCTTAGTAAATGAGCAAAAGACAAGTTCCCTGACAAGAACTGACACAAAATCATCAAATAAGGAAAAAAAGTTATTCCAAAATCAAACTCAGATTACAAGTCAACAACCTCCCCAGCTAACATTCACTTGACATAGGATCACACCATCACAGAGGCATTTTTCATTTACGTTTCACAGTTTAAAATTCGGATGCAAGCTGAGCTCACAATGACCAGCCTTAAGCAACCAAATCAAGTAGAAACACAATCCACTCCCAAGACAGGAGAGTATGAGCATTTGAAGTCATATTCACAAAGTGATAACTCCTCAAGTCCCTTTATAAGCAAAAAAAGGCAGCCCGGATCACGAATCATACCGTATTCACGTAAAGGGGTGCAAAAATTATTAAAATAAAAACCCTGGAGAGTGCTGAAACCAAAGGGATACTCGTATGCACCTGTGACCAAACCATTACTCCTGCTAAAAATGAAAGAGTGTGAAATATTTCATTCTCTGTGTTGAGACCAAGGTATAGTAAAGATTCTCCTGATATCTGCCAGAAAATAGAACACAAAGTCAATGACTTGCTAGAGTGGCAAGAGAGGACATTTTAAGAAAAAAGCTGAACCATTCACCTTCCAAAACCAGGGCAATATCCGGAAGTACAAGATGGAAGAGTCCATAAGTATGGTAACAAACTCGTGGATAAAATGGAAGTAACTGAAAAAAAAGGAGACAAAAGAATATCAAACAAAATAGAACAATTTGGATGGTATCACCTGAAGAAAAGAAAAAAGACAAAAGCAAGTGGGAGATAAACCTTTTGTCTAGACTATACGCACGGGACTTCTTAAATTTTTCCTGGCTGATAACTCCTACCAAAGTTTTCGGAAGTGTTGGCAATTTATGAGCAGCATGCTGTCGTACATCAAGGTATGTCTCAAATATGTACATTAATATCATGAAACCTGAAATTCAACAGCAAAATTAGAGCCAAAAGCACAATAAGAAGGGAGGTTAATACAACACCCTAGAAAAGACGGCAATGAATAAAATCAAGGAGGCAAGTCCAAGATAAAATCTGAAGCAAACAGCAAGCCAACTACCGAGAGAAACAAGGAACAAACCAAATTATACAGAGGTGAAAAGCATTAACACACAAAACACGTCTCAAAGTGAACCAAAGCAGACCTTTTACAATCATTCAAGGATGACACAACATCCCTAAAGTCTAAAGGCAAACAATGCTAGTTGGAGGAAATTCCATCATTTCATCTCCTTGCATCATCATTTTAACAATGTTGTCTACTGGCTAGTTGAACTATATATCAGCCCAAATTAAGAGTGAAAATAATAGAGGAGACCACCAAATCATACATCAGATGACAACAAAAATTCCATAGATTAACAGAAAGGATATTTTCAGTTTTTTCTTGCCTGTCCCAGTCCATAAACTATACACAAATTGTGGATATTGTGTATGATAGTATGAGTGCATCCCCCACCGACATTAGCAGTCCTTACTTATCAACTGAATGATGTCAAAAGCTAAGAAATCATCGCTTAAGGTATTATGTGAAAAACATACTGCATTAGCAGTCAATGCTCAAACAAAATGGGAAAAAAAACAATTAACTCATGGAGGGAGAATCCATTTTTTTTAAAAACTCATGGAGGGAGAGTCAAGGTGTCAGTCAATTTGAGCATATTTTCTGCACCTACAGAACCATTCAACAGTCGACATCCATTGGTTTCACATTTAAGAACACAAAAGAAGAAAAAATGGGGCCCAGATAGAATTGAGATGTAATGAATCTCTTCATAAACTGTAATGGGCATGGCACTGCAAATTATTGAAGTCCAACAGTGAATGATAATAGTGTTACAGCAATTATTCTGTATAACACAAATGCTTAACCAAGAATCATATTTTTCGAATAACTTATGAAGTTGCCAGAAAAAATTAAAGCACGCAGAATAAAAGGCATTTACAGCATGCTCCTCCAATAAAATCCCTCCAAATACCAATAACACATTACCCCTTTTGGTAAGGCAATGCAAAAATATTATTAATGGGCATCCAACCAAGCTTCATATGGATTTTACTTTTTTTGTCCACTCACGAAGAAAGTTGCCAGAACAAATTAAAATACACAGAATGAAAGGCATTTCCAACGTGATCCTGCAATTAAAGCCCTCCAAATGCCAATAACGCATCACTCCTTTTCTAACAGGGTAGTGTAAATGTTACAATGAGCAGCCAGTTGATGCAGAGTAAGAACAAAAATGTTCCTATATAGAACTTACAGGACCAACAAAATCCAAAAACTCATTATACGATATACACTACACAGTTTGCTCCAGCAAAAACGATTTACCAGACACTGACTTCAATGAAAAGTAGGGTAAACTTCTCCTTCAAAGCATCTATAGTTCCTTGCCTTCTATATAGTCCATATAAACAAAAATGCACCACTCCTTGAGGTGACAACAATGAGAGAGGTCCTTAATTTAGGCACGGTGGGAGGGAGAGCAAAGGAGGAGGAGCTAGGCATTCAAGCACTTAGACATGAACTTCACTAATTGGAAAATCTAAAGGTCCTCCAGTTCTATCACATTTCTTCCAGAAATCCAAAAGGCAGACACCAATGGATCTATTAGTCTTATCCTTTTGGTTGATTACAACAACAAGAAAAAGGACCTAACAGTTTGAAGCTTATCAGCACGCGAAGACGCACATAAAATAAAGCAGCACAATAAAAGGTATTACAGCGAGAAACTAAAGAACAGTAACATGTGTAACCTCAAATAGGGTTTAACCACATCAGAGGAAGCATCTTGCACAAAGTTTGAAATGAATACAAAACAATAGCTTCAGTTACCTCAGTAACAACACTGAGGGCCAGCGCATCAATACATGTTTTTATTAAAATTTTGAAACTATCATGATCAAGCCTTACAAATCCAGAACCAAAAACATGCCTAACAAGCATCTAAAGTGTAAGTAGATTAAAAATATACGAAAAAGATTGTAATGGGAAGTTCCAATTGAAATCATGGATTTCTAAACGATTTCAACACAGCCTCATTCAGGTATTGAAGACTTCTTTTTATATCAGATAAGGTACTGTTGATGAACAAAAAGAATTAAGAAAGTGCTACAGTTGTTTACAGGTTGTGCAGGAGACTAAGCATATCTAACAGAGCATTTACATCATATTACAATAGACTGCATGCACCAAAAAGACAGCAAAAGTATAGACCTATGATGTTTAAGGCTAAGTACATTTCCCTTTTTGCCTTCAAAAATTCTATGATTCCTTTCTAACCAAACTGTCCACCAAATGGCAGCAAGGAACAACATGATCTTCTCGTTCCTGTTCAGACCTTTTCTGTGCCAACCTAGCATTAGAAGTGGTTGATGGCATTGTCCAATGGATCCCCGAAACTCTGAAGAAAGAAGGCTAAGAAACTTTCACAGCCTTTTAAAAGTTAGAACCATCATATTACGACCTCAGAATTATCAGTAGATAGGCTCTAGCTAGTGTTGTAAATAGCGAGCGCTACGTCGCTAATAGCGTGTGGCGACGCGAGGTAGTATCGCTATTTTGCTCTGTTGCGTTGCGAGTCAGAAAAGGCGCGCGCCTCTGCCTGTGTAGCAAGAGGCGCTGTGAAGCGACGCTATTTGAAAAAAAAGGAAGAAAAGGCAGCGACAGAGATTAAAATACAAAATTAGGGCTTGGGTTTTCACTTCTTCTCCTTCAGCGACCGTTTCTCCGCAACAGAAAAATTAGGGCTTGGGATTCATCGTCTTCCATCATCAGCCATCAGCACAGTAACCCAGGTATGTTACTTTCTTTTCTTTTCTTCTTATTCTCCTTTCTTCTTCTACTTTCTTTTTCTTCTATTTCAGCTGTCTTTTTCTTTTTTTCTTCGACAGTTCGACTTCGACCATTGCTGTCTTCTTCTTTTTTCTTTTTCTTCTTCTTTCTTCTTTCTTGTTACTTCAGTGGTCAGCTCTTTCTTCTTTCTTTCTTCAGTGATCAGCCTTTTTTCTTTTTCTTCTTCTTTCTTCGGTGATCAGCTCTTTCTTCTTTCTTTCTTCGGTGATCAGCTCTTCCTTTTTCTTGTCTTTTTTTTTTGTGTTCTGTTTTTCGACCAGCAGCAGAGGCAAAGGCTCTTTCTTCCCTTCCTCTTTCTTCTTCTCTTATATTTTTTTGGCTCTGTTTTTCGACCAGCAGCAGAGGCAGAGCAGAGGCAGTAGAGTCTCTTTTTAGGCTCTGTTTTTTCAGTTATAGACTTATAGTCTTATAGAGTAGAATTAATTGCATATTGACTTGATAATTTTTTTTCTATAAAACAGCATTGAAATGGCGTCATCCGATAGTAATAAATGAAATGATATAGCTTGGAATTATGCTATACAAGGCTCATCAAGATCCGCAATTAAATGTGTGTTTTGTGAAAAAATATATCATGGTAGAATAACTCGCCACAAGCAATATTTGATAGGTGGATTTAAAAATGTAGTACAATGTCCTCTTTGTCCGCCTGAGGTTAGGGAGGAAGTAAAAGCATTTGTTGGGAAGAAAAATGTGACAAGAACTCAAATGAATTATGAAGCATCGGTGAATCTAATTGAAGAAGATGTGANCCCCCCCCCACACCACCACAAAACTCAAAAGATATCTTCAAAAAGTTCTAGTGGGTCATCCACGGCACATACGGTGACAAAAGGTCCTCTCAATCTTTATTTCTCGGCAAAACAACAAGAAAAGGGAAAACGTTATTCTGGTTCAGGTTTAGAAGCCAAGAAGATTTTGAGGGATCGCGCCGTAAGTGCCTTTGCAGCATGGATGTACGATGCAGGGCTTCCTTTCAAATGTGTTAACTACAAAACTTTTGATAAATTCATTGAGGTCGTAGGACAATATGGCCCAGGAATGAAGCCTCCTAGCTATCATGAAGTTAGAGTAACTCATCTTAAAAAAAACGTGAAAAAGATAGACAATTATTGAGGAGCATAAAGTGGAATGGAACAAGTTTGGATGTTCCATTATGATGGATAAATGGACAGAACGGAACGGATAAATGATCATAAATGTGTTGGTGAACTCTCCAAGAAGGAGTGTTTTTCTTGAATCTTACGATGCTAGCAACTCTTCTACGGATGGAAGCAAAATGTACAGCTTGTTTAGAAAGACTATTGATAAAATTGGAAAGGAAAATATTGTACAAGTTGTTACCGATAATGCTAGTGAGAATGTTAGTGCGGATAAGATGATGGAAGCTATGTATCCACACATTTATTGGACTCTATGTGCTGCCCATTGTATCAACTTGATGTTTGGTGACATATTCAAGGAAAACCCATATGTTTCAGGTAACTGTAATATAGTTATCTTTAAAGCTTTAACTTTATTTATACTTATGTCCTATTAAGTATTAACTATAAAATTGTTATTGTTACTTTTACAGTTTTCACTAAGGCCATCAAGATATATTCTTACATCAGTCAGAGACTGTTGTTGTTGAATTTGATGAGGAAATTCACAAATGAAAGAAATTTGGTGAGACCGGCCAAGACTAGACTTGCAACGGCTTTCTTGACTTTGCATAGTTTTTACTTGCAAAAGAAAAACTTGAGAAAGCTAGTTCTTTCAAATGAATGGAAAGATAATAGATATGCAAAGGAAGCTGCGGGGAAAGAAACTGTCAAAGTTCTTATTTCTCCATCATTCTGGAATGATATCGTTCGGGCTCTTAAAGTTGGTGGTCCTTTGATTAGGGTGTTTCGTATGGTGGATGGGGAGAGAAAACCACCAATGGGCTATCTTTATGAAGCTATGGATAGAGCCAAAGAGACCATTAAAGCGTCATTTAAGGGAGATGTTAGGAAATATAAGAAAGTTTTTGAGATTATTGATAGCAGGTGGTCGAATCAACTCCATCGACCTTTGCATGCAGC